ACACCCTGTAGACCCTTCTCTAAGAAATACAAAAAAAAGAAGAATTCAATGAAGGGGGCCGGGGAGATAGCTCAGTAGAATAAGCACTTGCCTGGCAAGCGCAAGGGCCTGAGTTCAATTCCCGGTTCTGCAAAAAAAAAAAAACCAGACTTCAATGAAGACAGTATTTTTTTTTTTTTTTTACCTCATGTTCAATTTCAGTACAAAAATGTTTTGAGGCTCAGCTATGGGGTTGTACAGTAATTACTTATATTGATTATCAAACACACTCATATGTCGAGTCCACAAGACACTTATGAGCAAGGAATTCCTGTGAAAGAAATGACCCCCCCCCCCCCCCCAGTCCTGCAGAAGCGTCTGTGAGCCTCAAATTCCAGGCTGCAGGAGAAGGAATGGAATGTGACTCTCCAGAGCCACACCCTCCTCCGGATAATGGTGAGGGCAATTTAGTCCTGGGACGAAGACAAGACTTGGAGGAGGGGGGTCCAGTCCTTGAGACCACATTCCATTTCAGCTTCTACTGAATGTAGTTGAAGGAAAAGTTCACCAGTGCAATTAATATAATCTTCTATTGGAGATCAGTAAGGCTGTCACATAGGTCAAAAATAGTTGAACACAGATTTTCTATGTGTCCTTTGTGGTGGAGTTAACGAGTACCTGCAGATAAAAAGGGACACCTCAGTGTGACCATGGAGCCCCTGCTCTCAGCTTCGTCATATGACGGGTGTGTGAGACCTGGAAATCGCACCCTAAGACCTATGAAGAGTATGGCATAGAGGCAGGCATGCTGGCTGGCTGGTTCCAGAGAAGCTGTATTGAATAAAAGACTGGAGCATGATGGGGAAAGTGACTTTCCTGCAGCCCAGCGAGCCTGTCTTCCTGGTCACCTGACTCACTAATACTTCCCTGCTGACTACTTGAGCTCACGTTCTCCGGCTTGAGGCTGGCCTACACTTCCTGTGCAGATTCATTCTCGCTTACCTTCCTTTCCTGCACATAGTTCCATGTCAGCTCAGAATGGATGGGCGTGGAGAGAAATACTGTGACGTGGACCATCGCATTCTGAAGGAGCGTTCACCAGGAGTTTTCTCATTTCGTTGTAAAGTCAACCGATATTTGTGACGCACGTTTGAATAAAGTCAAAATGTAAAACTGTGTTACCTAAATGTGGAAAGACGCGGTGAACTAAGTGACCCTGTTTCTTCTGAAATCTTAGAGCTGCCAGTGAAGCATTAAAGAGGAAAGCCTGGTGCTAACCAGATCGTCTTTCTGGGACTCACTGTAAGCTTAAGTCTTATGACATAGGAAGTCTTCTGGCGCAGTTGAGATTAGATGAAGCCAAAACACGTGCTAATACATTTATTTAAAATAATCTGGGTAGTTATGAGCATTTAAGAATGATTTAAATTTACTAGTTCAATATTAGGTATGCATATTGGTATTCATATTTATACAGGGTTGTCCTGAGAGATAGTCATAACTGTGTGCATCTAATATACTAATTCTAAATTATTCTTTTTTATTGTTTTCAAAATCATTTTCTTCAGATTTAGTAAGCCAAGTTTGAGGTATTAGTGAAGATAATGGCGAGGATATTCTAAGTGTTTGTGTTATTATGAACATTCTAAATATTTCTTTTACTGTACTTTACTAGATCAGATATTGTGGGGTTTGTACTTTTAAAGGTGCAAAACAGAGCCAATATAGACTTATTATGTAGAAATTTGAACCTAAAATATTGATACTATATACCAGACAGCCTGAGTGAGTAAAATTACATAATGTGGCTGTAGTCTACAGTTTTTTTTAAAGCCATTACTATATTCCTGAAGCTTCTCTACCCAGAATAATGTTATGTAGTGAATAAATGCACACATTAATTTATAGCCTGCTTTACACGAAACAGGGATTTCCTTAAGGCTAATCTTGAAAGTTTCCTGGAAATCTACAGTCGAGCTATGTGCTCGTTTACTGTATCAGAACCGTTTTGTTCCTGGCTGGAGTTTTTACCTCCTCTTCACTCCACCAAGAGAGGCTCCCTAACAAGGCTGTGTTTGCCTTTTATGTGTCTGTGCTGCTGTTTCCATCCCACATGCCACTGGCTACTCAGCAAGTGCACACGCGCACGCGCGCACACGCACACTTTCCACATATTCTAATGGCTCCTTTCTATTTACAGGTCATGTACGTGGCTTTCCATGGTGTCTCACAGAGGCGTGATGACCTTAGGGTCTTGGATACGAACGAACCAGGAATTGAGCCAGAAAACAGGAGAAACAAGTTCTTCAAAAGCTTAGCGGTATTATTGGAAAACAAAAGTAATAACACTAAGATATTTTCTAGAGCAAAGTGCTGTCAGTTGATAAGAGAAGTAAAAGAGGCTAAAGCTAAGGCAAAAGAGGAGTAACTTGACTGCTGTCGCTTGGCTACATTTGATGTGGTCCTTGTCCAAGGACATGAGAAGCTGATTGAGGCTATAAATGGAGAGACAGATAAAGTAGGGCATTGTTTACACAGTAAAGACTTACTTGACATTTTGCATGATACACATCTCAGCATTGGACGTGGTGGACGTACTGGCATGAAGAAAGAACTGGAAGCTAAATTCCAAGAATATCACAAAAGAAGTTATCATGCTGTGTCTGACCCTCTGTAAACCATGCCAGCAGAAAGCCTTAAAACTCAAGAGAGTTCTAACATCAAAGCCCATTGAGGAAATTAACTCCAGATGCCAGGTAGATCTCATAGACACGCAATGGAATCCTGATGGGGAGTATAAATTTATTATGCGTTATCAAGACCTTTATATGAAGTTAAGTTTTTTGAGGTCACTGAAATCTGAGCGGCCCAGGGAAGTTGTGCGTGCTCTTTTAGATATTTTTGCCATGTTTGGAGCTCCCAGTGTCTTACAACCCAACAAGGGGAGAGAATTTTCAAGGCAGATTGTTGGAGAACTTGGTAGTATTTGGCCAGAATAAAAATAGTCAACAGGAAGCCTCAGACTTGCCAAAGCCAGAGTTCTACCAAAGAAACTGAGGAAATCCAAGAGAGAATCTTCTCCTGGATGCAAATGAACAGTTCGCCACACTGAGCTAAATTCTTGTGGATCATTCAGATGACCCAAAACCAGCTATACCCCAGAGGCATGCGGCACACTGTGTGAAGATGCCTTTAGTTCTGAAGCAACGCTAGACCCAGTTAACTGAAGAGCTTATTTCCAGACGGCATCGAGATGAATTAGAACAGGTCCAAGTGCTTCCTAGCAAGCACAAGGGCCTGAGTTCAATTCCCGGTTTCGAAAAAAAAAAATGTTTGGAGCCGGAGAGATGGCTCTGTGGAATAAGTGCTTCCCTAGAACAGGTCAATAAAGAGCTAGAAAACACTCCGAAAGCCACTTTGAAGAAAACAGTGACCCTGGAACAGGTAGCAGTGACACTGCAGGAAGCCTTTCTGTCACCGCAACAGTGGCTGGAAATCCTCCTGAAAGCCTGAAGTGTTTATCTCGTGTTGTTTGTGAAAGAGTCCATGGGTGCTAGTAGTTGTGTCTCATGTTTTAGAAATGTCTATGCACTCTGTGGGGTATCTTCTCACCGGGAGGCTGCAGGCCATGGTCACCAGGTAAATGCTGGTCCTTGTTATGAGACCAGTACGATGAAAATGGAACAGGTGACTCAGAGTGGGTTGCCTATTCAACCCTGCAAAGTGCTAAAGCCGTCAGAGACACTGTTTTCACCAGACACAGTAGGAAGCTGGGTAACAGTCTCTTCTCTGATGAAAGCAGGACAAGCTTTAGTGCACTTTGCTGTGATCTGGATGGATAAGAATTATGTGGTAAATTACTCAAAAGCACACTTGGCCCAGGCGTGGTGGTGTATACCTGCCGTCTAGCACAGGAAGCGGAGGCAGGGCATCCCCATGAGTCCTGGCCAGCCTGGCTACAAAGTGAATCCAGTCTGAACTGCGTAGCTAAAGCTTGTCTCAAACAAAAAAAGTAGCCACCTTCAGGTATTTTTCCCAGGGAAAAGCGTGATTCCCACCTTTTCACCAAGCTGGAGCTTATAACCTTGAATGCTGCCTCGTCTATTTGGGGGCTGTGAACAGTGTCTTGGTAGGCATTGCGTGGGGAGAATGAGGAATCTATATGGAGAATAAGATGGTGTTTACGATAGATTGCTATAGAAGAATGAATTTGGCATTTAAGATTACTTTGTTTCAGTTGTGAGTTTGGAAGGTAAAGGACATTTCAAGTTAACTGAAGAAATACTGAGGAGGGGTGAGGAATGATAAATTTAGTCAGAAAATAGGGGTTTGGACTGGCAGAGCCTAGAAAGATTTGAATGGAAAATATGGGGCCTACACAATTTTAAATCAGGATTTCTGAGGTAGAGCTGATGTTTTGAAATATGAAAGTTACAGTTGGCTAAAGCTATTAGTATGCAAAGCGTGATCTGCAAACTATGGTTGTGATGGTTTGCAAATTATTTTTACCAGTCCATGAGAGAGGTGTAAAAGGTACAGAAAAGAGTCTAAAAGCATTTATTACAGCTGGACATTGCTGCAACATCTGAGCAAATGACTGATGGACTCGCCTTGCTGCGTGTAGACCAGGCGGCGCTCGCTGCCCGTCGGGTGGCTCCTCGCGGTGGGAGTCGCAGTAGCCAAGCACAGCTGGGGTCACGTTGTGATGCGTGCTCTGGAACATCAGTCATTGCACAGTTCTGGAAAAGGTGGCCACATTTCATGCTTGTGCAGGAAAAATGCCGTGCCTGTGTTCATCACCCGAGGCAGAGTTTGCAAACAGGAACAAAATTTTACAAAACATTTCTGCTTGTGAACCAAGTTGGCACCACCATATATCAAACTAAAAAATGTAAGCATTTATTTTTATAACTTGGTTTAAAATCATCTTTTATTTTTAATCAAGTGTACTTTTGAATTTTTTAACATTAATAGGGTAGGTAAATTAAGTTTATGTTATTAATTTTAATCCTAACTTGCAGATGGTGAAACAAGCTTCACTGGACTTTCTTGTCAAGAAAAAAACACACTTTCTTGGAACATAGCAGCAGTAATCAAAGAAGTGGTAACAAGGGAAGTCGTCTTAAAGAAGCAAGAGCCAGAAGAGTTCGCATGTGTTTTACTCAGAAATACAATTCTTCATATATTGAGTTTGGTTTTGTAGCTAAAGTTGATGGTGAAGTGCCAAAGCCACAGTGTGTTATTTGTGGAGATCTATTAGCTAGTGACACAATGAAACCACCAAAACTTAAGTGGCATTTATGTTCAAAACATAAAGAAATAAGTTCACAAGCAAAAGAATGACACCATTTGAGAGAAAGAGTAGTGAGTTAAAAAGTCAACCAAAGCAAATGTTCAGTGTTTCCCCCATAAACACCAGTGCCCTGAGGGCTTCGTGTGGAGTAGCACACCCAGGCGCCAAGTCCAAAAGGCCATGCACAACTGCTGAGACACTTGGGAAAGACTACGTCAAAGAAGTTTGCTTGGAAATGTTGGGTGAATCTGCAGCAAAGAGGGTAGCACAAGTGCCACTTTCCAGTGACACCAAAGCTCGCTGCATTCAAGAGCTGGCTCATCACATGGGAGACCAACTCAGAGCAGATAAAGCTGCCAAAGTACTTCTCACTGCGACTGGATGAGTGCGGAGATGCTGCTAGCGCGATCGTTCCTTTAGTCCGTGTGAGCTTTGAACATGGTGATGACATAAAGGAAGAATTCCTTTTTCAGTCTCTTTGCCTACAAACACAACTAGTTCAGATCTGTCTGAAGCCATGAAGAACTACACTGTTGACAGATGTGGCTTGGAATTTAAGCTTTGTGTAGGAGTGTGTTCTGCTGGTACAGCTTTAATGACAGGAAAATGTTCCAAAGTGGTCACCCAGATTAAGGAACTTGCTCTGGAACATAAAATAACGCATTGCTTCATCCAGCATGACAGTCTTGCTATGAAAAAAATATCAGCTGAGCTATACAGGGTGCTTACTGACATTGTAAAAATTGTAAATTATATAAAATCTGATGCATTCATTCAAGATTGTTCACTTATTATGTGATAATATGGAAGCTGATCATAAGCAGTTCTTACTACATTCTGAGATATGGTGGTTGTCTTGGAAAACTTCTGTCAAGAGTGTTTGGAATACGAGATGATCTCTTAGCGTTTTTGCAAGGCAAGAAACCTGCTTCGTTTCAACTTGTTAGAGATGTGAACTGGACACCCAGACTTGCTTATTTGTCTGATATCTGTAGTATTTTTAATGACTTTAATGCTTCTTTGCAAGGAGAAAATGCAACATGCTTTTCAGTGACAGATAAGATTGAAGGGCAGAAACAAAAGACTTCGCTATCACAGATTGCTTCTGAGGTACTTGGGACACAGACACGAGCATCCCAAGGAGGTCCAACAGCCTCCGTTGTTACTTGGAGGAGAGTCAGGGAACGGTGCGCGCGCCTGTTCTGTGGTCCGGTCAGGGCAACTGCAAGCAGCACGAGGCAGCGTCTTTGGGGTAAGTGAAGGAAACACGTCACCTGATCAGAGGGTGATTCATATAAGTTCTTATTTTCATAGAAATGTAATATTCAAACTTGAAGAAAGAAAAGATAAAATGTCACTAAATACCCTTTTGCTTTGAAAGAAAAAGAAATATTAACAGTGTGGAAACCTTGGTTGGTTTGGGTTTCTTGGTGTTTTAATAAAAACGTATACCACTTCTAAAAATTAAACTGATAAGGGCCGACCTGGTAGTTCAGCAGACTAAAGCACCTGCTTAGGCAGAGCACAGCAGCCAGGGTTCGATCCCCAGCGTGCTGTGCCAGCCCTGCCAGCAGGGTGTGCCGAGATGGTGACTGAGACTGGGTGTGGTGGTGCGTGCCTGTAATCCCAGCACTTGAGAGGCTGAAAACAGGAGGATTACTGCGAGTCCGATCTACGCAGTGAGCCCCTGTAGACCCTGTCCTAAATACAGAAGGAAAAAAAGTTAGACTGATAATGGTGACTAGATTTAGAAAGTGCTTTAATTCCTCCAACCCAAAATTTATTGTGTCCCATTTTCTATGTGACCATTTACTGTATGCTTTATTAAAGTATTATTTCTAAGTTTTAACTTTTGTGAGGTTCTACATTTAGTAAAGGCAGGAGAAAATGCTCTGGAGAGCGATTAAGTAGGAGAAGTACACTCTATAGGGTGACTTGAGGGCCACTGTGACAGAGCACAGTGACCAGGAGCTTCGAGGTCTTCCTGATCTTGTGTCCCTCTCACTTCTCAGGCTTACATCAGGTCTACGCCATCCTATCAAAAACCTGCTTGATTTCTCAAGGGAAATTGAAGACGGCATCTCTGTTTGGTCCCAGGTTCTGGGCTTTGGGAACTGTTTGTTGACAGGTCGCGCCTGCTCGCTCAGCCTGCTGGCCACATCCTGATCACCTGCCTTCTGAGAGACATAACCCCCCATACCTATCTATGGGGTGCTGAGGCTGTGGAGTCTCCATACAGCTGTTTCCTGCTGAAACAGGCTGTAGACACTACCCTCTGGGGCTTATGTGCCCTCCAACTACCTTGGGTGGTTTGTGCCTCACTGGCTGGGTTGAAAAACCTATCAGGAGAAAAGAAAAACAGTGTCTATATGGGATGGGCTGTTGAGCTCCCTGTTTGATGGGAGAAAACTTGGTGAATTTACTATTAGGTTCAGGATGTGGAGTCCAAATATGAGGAGCAGGTCAGATTTTCAAATATTTCCTGTGCAGTGAAAATGTGGCAAAGAGAGATGTTAGGTAAATTATTTAAGAGCCTGAGAGCCAAGGCCCTGGCAACATTACCCACATTATGGATCTAATTAAAAACGAGTCTCCTTACAGGGGCCTGTTGAGGCTGTGGTGAATTCAGGGTAATAGATAATGAGTTATGTGCACCTGGAGCGGTACTAGAGTCTTGATTTTTGAAGAGGACACTCATCTGAAAGTTCTCAGGGGCAGAGTCCTAGTCCTGTGAAAATTTGACCATTTCCCACGAAGCATTTTCATAGCTTTCCACTACATCCCCTGAGGAAAGACCAGTTTCAGTGGTTCTTTAGGAATAGGGAATAAGGCCAGGACCTAGAGGGATATAAGGCTTCCCTTGCCTGTCTATCAGCCTTTTGATTTCCTAAAGCCACTTTAGATCTGTCCCTTTGTTATTCCTTATAATGAATGCTAGCAATCTGCTTGGGAAGAAAGACTGCCTTTAGGAGTTGTAGAATTTCTTGCTTGTGCTTTATAGATGATTGTTTATTAATTAGCCCTTTTTTTTCTAGGTTACTGCATGGGAATGTAGCCACAGGAAGGGAAATTTGAAGTCTGTAAATATTTAGCTTTTTGCCTTTTCCTAATATCAATGCCCAAGTAAGGGCTATGAGCTCTGCTTTTTGAACACAGGACCCTGGGGAAAAAGGTTTGGCCTCAGTGACCACTGTGAAGTGACAACTCTTAACTTTCCTTTTGATGTCTTTCTTGGAAGAAACCACAGTGGTGCCTTGGTTCCCAAGAGTGGCAAGCAGTGCAGATTTGTTGTGTTACCTCAGCGCATCTAGAAGCAGAGCCTGATACTAACTCATCCTCGTCAACTACAAGTGAGCTGTTTTTCCCCGAGATTGTTCTTGACCGGGTGGACAGCCAGAACTGCTAGTTTTTGCCCCAAAATTAGTTTTGTAGTATTTTCTATTAGCACAGTTGTAGCTATTATTGCCCTCCAACAGGGTTGCCTGGTAGTCTCAACAGGTAAAATTCACATTAGCCTTTGCCAAAACTGAAGAATTGACCCCAATTGTAGTACTAAATGTCTTCCTAGCAAAGGAATAGGACAAGTGGGACAATTAAGCCTTATGGTTGAACATGGTACCTTCAAAGTGACATGTCAGAGCGGGTGTAAAGAAGCTGTACCTGGGCTCTCTTGCAACCCCAACTTGGACTATTGCTCTAGAGGAGGCTTTTCCAGAGAACAATGTTATCTATAAGGAATCACAGTTGCTCACCCATGACATCCAGCTTTATCTGGGGCTCATCGTAGGAGATGGGAGATGTCCATGAAAGCGGCATTGCAGATTGTCCTGGGCCCTTCTGTCCTCATGAGCATGAGGCACAGGTTTTGGCCAGCCTAGCCCCTCTCAGGGAGATCCAGGAGTCAGGCATACCAGCTGCCTACACACAGAGCAGGGCTGCCTACACACAGAGCAGGGCGAGGCGATATCTTGGTGTAGTCACCTGGTCAGTGTCCGCTTCCTTGCATTTAAAGGAGGAACTCTTTCCCTGATTGGCCTTGAGTTTTCCCTTGCATGACTTAGGTGTACTTAAAGCCTTGCAATTACAACAGCCATAATTTTGGCCATTCTTTTTCTTGGCCCTTTTTTATCCTATCTAGACCCTGCCTGTTAAACACAGAAAAGATCACGTCCTGTCACTGGAGTCACTAAGGTCGGGGGTACAGCAAGTGACTAAGATAAACTGGACATCACAAAAGCTCAAAAGCAAGGGCAAAAGTTTAAAACGCACCTGCAAACCCACTAGGATCTTCTACAATGCCTAGCCAATCTTTGTATTGTTGGATATTTGCCACTGAAAAAGGAACCTGGATTTAAGGAGTCCCCTGTACTCCTGGCACCACCCTCAGGGGCACAGTGAGCTGTGAGCAGAGTAAAATGTCCCACCCTGAGTATGTCCTGTGGAGCTTAGCACTATGCTGTCTGAGGAACACAAGGAGGCTGGGGAATGCGGGCATCTTTGGGGCCCTGCGACCTGGTGGAGTTTCTGAGTTACTGTGAGAGAAGAGGACTGACTTACTGGCCTCTGGATTTTAAGGAGGAAGTCAAGGACACCACCCAGTATGGTTCCTTTTGTCAAGCAGCTAGGAGGGGCCCATATTTCCCTGAGAGACAGGTGGCTATTCTAGGATAGGATTATCAATGACATCAATTTCTTCTTCCTTGGAAGCCTTTTTACGTTCCATAGTTCTGGGGTCTTTCCAGAGACAAAGAACCATAAAAGCATGAACATGGAGACTTCATACCACTTCCCTTGCCTTGTGTAGGAACAACCTAACTGAAAAGTGGTATCAAATTAGCCTGCCATTCTGTACCTTTCTCTTGCTATTTCTAATTCATAACAAACCCAAAGAGTATTGTATGGGCCTCACAGACCTAGAGAAATCATTCCTAAAATTTATTTGGAACCAGAAAAGACCTGGAATAGCAAAGGCATCTTGGGCAACAAAGACATTACAAGAAGGCATTACAATTCCTGAATTGAAATTATACTACAAGGCTACTGTGATAAAATCAGCATGGTACTGGCAACAAAATAGACCTGAGGATCAATGAAATATATTAGAAGATGCCTAAGCCTCTACAAACACACTTAGCCACCTTATCTTCGACAAAGGGGCCAAACATGCTTACTGGAAGAAAGATGGCCTCTTTAACAAATGGTGCTGGAAAAAACTGGCTCTCTACATGCTGAAAACTAAAACTTGAATCAGGTCTATCACCATGCACTAAGCTAAAGTCAAAATGGATTAAAGATCTAAACATTAAAACAGAAACAATGTTAAAGATCTGAACATTAAAACAGAAACACTAACTCTCCTAGAAGAGAAAGTTGGAGGAACTTTTGAAGACATAGGGGTAGGCAAAGAGTTCATGAACAAAAATCAGATCTCACAGGTAATACTTGAAAGAATTGACAACTGGGACCTCCTCTTATTGACAAGTTTTTGCACATCAAAAGAAATTACCAACAAAGTGAAAAGACAACCCACAAATTTGGCAAAAATCTTAATAAGCTCTCAGACTGCTCTCAAGAATTTATAAAGAACTAAAAAACATTAGGGCCCCAAAATTTAAAGACCCAATCTAGAAATGGACATTCAAGATGAACACTTCTCAGAGGATGAAATTAAAGAAGCAAATAAATATATGAAAAAATGCTCCACATCACTAGCTATGTATGAAATGCAAATTAAAACAACACTGAGATACCATCTCACCCCAGAAAGAATGGCTATCATAAAGAAATCAACCAACAACGAATGTTGGAGAGGCTGTAGGGAATAAGGAACCCTTCTCCACTGCTGGTGGGAGTGTAGACTGGTGCAACCATTATGGAAATCAGTGTGAAGACTCCTTAAAATATTGGGACTGGAAATCCCATTCAAACCACCTATCCCTCTACTGGGAATTTTCCCAGAGGAACTGAAAACATCATATCATAGTGATATATGTGTGCCTATGTTTATAGCAGCACAATTTGTGATAGACAAATCTTGGAAACAACCAAAATGCCCGTCACCTGAGGAATGGATAAAAAAGATGTGGTATTTTTATACAGGGGAGTATTACTCAGCTATAAAGAATGATAAACTTGAGGCCTTTTATATTTAAGTGGATGTCACTTGAAGATATACTCAAGTGAAATAAACCAAACCCACATGTATAAATATCATATAGTCTCCCTAGTGTAAGAATGCAAAAGAAGAAATAAAAATAGAAAGGTACAATACAATTAAAAGGAAAGTGAGAACTTAAGGATTAAACAATGAAGAGAGGGTAAGGAGAAAAGTTAGGAAACATGACGGGCAAAACCATACATTTATATACATAAGATGGTTAAGGCAATGATCCTGAGAATCTTCAACAGGTTTTTGAAACTAGCAGTTAATTGGTACGATTGTCACCCTGACTAGCTATATATGCTGATACCTGTGAACTAAGCAACTGCACTGAAGATAGCAATGTGTAATACTAGGGTCATGCTTGGAATGCCTGTCATTCTGGTCTTCTAAATATGTACTGCTTGTCATGTCATACCAATTACTGCTATACTTTCAAAATAAGACAAGAAAAAAAAGTCATAGGACTGTCTTGCTACAATGCTGTATATGGTTAGATTTCTAAATTTCTGTGCAAAAATATGTAATTATTCCTATTTTTCTAAAATATTTTTTATTTATTTTTCTTTTTTCTTCACATTCTGTAGAGATTTAAAGTTTAGCATATCAATACTTGATGGAAAATATATGTTCCATTCTATGTCTAAGATGTTTGCTATTCAGACAGATAGTGAGGGTAAGCTCAACTGCCTATGTTATAGGGTAATGATATCATTAAGCTTCTTTTCTGGAGCATTAACAACTTAAGTTTGCAGGCCAAAAATTAGAGAAAAAGAAGGGCTGCAAGGACAGCCAACATTTTGGCCCCAGCCTTTCAAGATCAGTGAGGACTCAGGATATAAAAGAACCTGTGCTGTAACATCCTGTAACTCAGTTGTGTCCCAAATTTTCTGATCAAGGAGATTATGGGGCCACAGAGGAAAGTGATTGACGATGCAGAGTGTGCCTAAGGAGAGTCACATGGAGAGAAAACATTCTCTCGGGCTTTCCCAGAGAGCAAATTGGTCAAGCAATGGCTGTGACTCATCCACATGGCTGACACTGACAAAGGATGTACAAAATGCAGTACGAGGTTTCAGGATAAATCCTGAGGAGATTTGACTGGCCTTGTCAGAAACAAAAGTTACATTTCTTGTTATATAGGTCTTGCTTTATCTTGATCCTAAATATCCAGCAGAAACTACAAAAATGAGGTATGAAAAGTAAAGACATATTAATATGCTGAGCTGTAAAAGACTGAAGTCAACAACTTCTGACATTGCCAGTCCTACAGATAACCCATAACTACTATTATGGACTACTGGGTCATATTGTATTATTTTGCTGAATTCACACACCTACAATATTTAAATGGCAATGGAATACCCATCTCTGATAAAACTAAACAAAAAAAGGGAATATAAATGAAGGACCATTTTGAATCTTATATACAAAATAGGAGAGATATGCCATTATTTTCTCTTAATTCAGTGAGAAGAAAGATTTGTACTAATAGTGTTTGGACAGGATATCATGTCTGCATCTTGTACTATGAATAACCACCATGAAGACAACAATATGCAAAGTATTAATTATTGAAACTGTCCTACTAATCGGTTTTGAAACTGTCTCATTGTTATTTGTTTCTCAATAAAATTAATAAAAAAATAAATAAAAATGTTGATTGATTAAACACTTAAATTTTAACAAACATATATTTATATATCATTGACTGTTATTCAATGATATAAAGAAATAAACTAATAAACCAAAAAAAAGAAAAAAGTGTATTGTGTGGGGTTTAAGAAGAGAGAGAAGACTAAATCTGTTGTTCTTCAGAAGGTATTCCCCCAAGGAAGAGTGCAAACACGCTGAGTCCCAGAAGTGTTCTTTGTGAGGTTTAACGGAACCCTCTGCCAAGTGGCAATTGGTGCGAATGCCTTTCTTTAGACCCCTCCATATACTGTAACCTCCCATGACTCTTTCAAGGTCAAACTGTTTTCAGTTTTTAAGGATGGCGTCTAATGGCAAGGTGGCTGGGGTGTGTAGTGTTTTCTGTGGCATTTTGAGGGCCTATGGAGAGAGAAGATGAGGCCTGTGATCCTTCACATGGCTTCCCATCCAGGATGCAGACATACTGAGTTTTCAAGGCATCTCTTGGAAGATTTAAGCACTGCAAATCGGATGTCTTTGGCCAAAGTAGCACCAATGCCTTTTTTCTTACTTTTTCCCCTTAGAACTCCTCATACCCTTAGTCCATTATGACACCTTAGAAGAGGGTAGAGCCCCCTGGCAACTCCAACCAGCTGCCTGAGCAGGGTGAGCCCCCAGGGGTGCCTCCACTTGCCTACTAGGATATAATCTATCCAGTGATTGAGTTCATCATAGCCTTTTGAATAGCTCTTAATTGACTTGTATCCATAGTGAGTGACCAGAAACAGGAAAGAGAAAAGAACAGGCGAGATCAGCTTAAGGTAGACCTGTGGGCTACTCCTGGCTACAGAGGCCGTGTGCTTTGTCTCCCCATCCCGTGTGCCAAGAAACATGTTTTACAAAGGAAACTATTGTTCTGATAACCGGATTTAGACAGAGACTCCACAAGAAAAAAACAAAAGAAAACTATAGGCTAACATCTCGCGAATCTAAGCACAAAAACCTTTAACAAAACACTAGCAAAGCGTTGGTGGTATAGTGGTGAGCCTAGCTGCCTTCCAAAACACTAGCAAACCACTCAGTGGTACAATGGAAGGAACGTTCACTCCAATCAAATGGGATTTGTGTCTGGGATACAAGGACAGTTGAACATATGAAATCAATAAACATGATACATTAATAGAAAAAAGGAAAAAAAGGATAAAAAATCAAATGATTAGATTCAAAAAAGAATTTGACAAGGTTGGTGACAAAACTCTGTTGATGGTTTCGAAGGAAAAAGACTCACTATGATAAAGGCCAGGTGAAAATCTGAACACCCTTCCTCCTGAAAACAGGGAGTAGGCCCACTCATACCATCTGTATTCCATATGGTGCTGGGAACTGTAGCCAGAGAAGTCAGGCAAGGAAAAGGACAGACAACACACTGCAAAGGGGACAATTGAATTGTTGCTATTTGTTAACATGATCCTATATATAAAATAAGGTGTCCACCATAAAGTTTTTAGGATAAATTCAGCAAACTTACAAAATACAGAATCCACTAAAATATCACTTGCATTTTTTTCCCTAACAACAAATTAAAAAAAGAAATTAAGAAAATAATCCCATTTACAAAAGCATCAAGAACACATGATTATTCTTTCAGGTTCTTACACTAGGGAGACAATACGATGTGTACACACGTGGGCCTGATTCATTCCACTTGTGTCACCTCTAGCTGCGTCCGCTTACCCATGAAAGCCTCACGTTTATCTCTCTCCATAGATGAGTAATACTCCGTTGTATAAAAATACATCTTTTTCATCCATTCCTTAGTTGGTGGGAATTTGGGATAGTTTGAAAGATACAATAGATATAGTAAAAGGGAAAGAAACTGGATGTAAGGAATGCACAGTTGAGGTGAGGGAAAGGAGGAATGACAGCAAAAAAAAAAAAAAAGGGAAGGGAAAGTGTCACATAAATATATAAAAAGGGTACCTAAGTTGATTGTACTACTAATTTCAGTTTTTTTAAGGTAGCAGTTAATGCTTAACATTTTTACTTCGACCGATTTTATATGCTTATATCTGTAATCTCAGCAACTACACTGAACACAGCAATGTACAATACAATTCAACCTCTGTTGAATACCTATCATCTTGGGTTTTTTAAATTGTGCATCGTTTCTAATGTCTTATCAATTACTTTCTATCTATTTTTCTTATCTGTTTTTCCTTAATACCCAGTCCAGCTGGGAGTGGTGGCTCACACTTGACATCTGAGCACTAGAGTAGACTGAGGCAAGAGAAGACACTGCCTTAAAATTAAAAAACAAAAATTAAGAAAGGGTTGGGGATGTAGCCAGTTCCAAGACATAGGCTTCCACACCCAGAATAATGACAACAAAAATTTAAATTTGTATAGGTACACACACACACACACACACACACACACTGTATAAACTGTCCCTGGTAGTCCTATGCATAATAACCCCAACTTTGAGCCACCCAGATGTCCATGTGCAATAGTATGGATAAATAAATCACAGCTCCACCCCATTTTATGCCTCTTTCATCCTGAGATAAAAATTATATATCATGCTCTTTTTTATTAGCATTACTACTTTTTTTTTTTTTTTTTTTTTTTTTTTGGTGGAACGGGGGATTGAACTCGGGCCTTGCGCTTGCCAGGGAAGCGCTTATTCCACTGAGCCATCTCCCCAGCCCAGCATTACTACTTATATATGTAGATTATTCAGTATGATATTTGTAGTTTCTATGACTGAAACCATGTCATTTATTTTGTGATTTTTATTGAAATACAATATTTCATTTTCTGTGATGTCTAGGTTTTTTTGTATTGCACATAATTACTTTTGTAAGTTTTATGGTCTTTAAGACATGTGTTAAGGGGCTTTCCCTAATGATAATAATTTTTTTTTATTTGTTTAATATTTATACAGGAGTAGGGGCGAAGTTTGTTTAGTTGATTCTTCTTTTAAAGTCATAGTTTAAAATTTCCTCTTGTCTGGTAAGGCATGCAAGTGGCAACCAAATGTTTTCTGTGGACGTTTTTGTGTCTTAAAATTCCAGGCATGAGCATTTCCTGCTATTTCTATATTATTAAAGAGTTGTATCATGAGTGGACTATGAAATTTATCAAGTGGTTTTTCTGCCAATAGTGAGGTGGACATAATTTTTTCTTCCAATTTCTCTTTTTGTTGTTGTTGTTTCTTAAAATATTTTTAATTTGTGTATGCTACAGTAAATTACAGAAAATATTAATCATTATTTAGCTACAAGAAATTTAGGGAGCTGGTTCAGGCTGCCTTTTTAAATTTTATTGAGAAACAAATAGCAATGAGACAGTTTCAAAACAGGTTAGTAGGACAGTTACAATAATTAATACATTACATATTGTTGTCTTCATAGTAGTTATTCAGAGTATAAGATGCAGGCATGATATCCTGTCCAAACACTGCTAGTACAAATCTTTCTTCTCACTGAATTAAGAGAAAGTAGCTGTATATCTCTCCTATTTTGTATATACAGATACAAAATGGTCCTTCACTTATATCCCTTTTTTCTGTTTAGTTTTATCACAGATGGGTATTCCATTGCCATCTAATTTCTTAATGTGCTAAATCCTAACAACTTTTTGTAATGTTAAATTTACCTCGCATTTTTGTCTAAACAAAGCATGTTACAGCCTGTAAACACTGCCGGATCAAGTGAGTTGCCTGGCTGTTTTCTCCTGAGGGAATTCTGAGCTTTTGTTCACAAGTGAAGCTGGCCTATGGCTCCCTGTCTCACATGGTCTGTGCCTGGTTTGGTGTTAGGAAGAGGTACGCTGGTAAAATGAAATGGAAAGTTTTCTCTATTACCTGCAGGAGCTCGTGTCCTGTTGGGGTCATTCTCCTTGGATTGTTTTAAAGAACCTCCCAGTAAAGTGGGCTGGGCACTTGATTACAAGGGCCCCTTCTGCGTCTGCTCCGGTGCCCCCTGGAGTCTCTGGTCCCTGCCCCACCTGCGGAGACCCTGCTTCCTACATCCTGTTATCCCTGCTTTTCTGTCTGAATTTGCTTTTTAATTTGAGTTCTCGTATGAAAGGAGCTGTGTGGTGCTTCCATCCTTGTTTACAGCAGAGTAGTACTCCACTAAGTGAGCACCTCCTCCTTCCTGCCCCTTCCTTCACTGCGGGGACGGAGCTGCCTGCTAGGAGACCGGTGCGTGTGGGTCTCTGTGGTGCAAGTGGGTTACCGTGGGGGAGGACTCTACCTCTTGAGAGAAATTCCCAGGAGGGAGCAGCCGGCCTGAACGGAACCTGTGCTTTCAGGTCCTCGGACTCTCCGCGCTGACATCCCAGAGCTGCAGCAGTCGCGCGGGCTCAGCCGCGGGCGCCCAGCGTGGGGTCCTCGGGCTGGCTCGGCCTGCAGGCACCCGGGAGCACAGTGCTGTCGGACGCCCTCGCATCCCAGAGTACCAATCACGAACAGAAGAAAGAATAAACTGAAAAGGATGCAGACACTGCGAGGATAAGTTAAATGCGGGAAAAACACAGAACCGACCGGCGCAGTGGTGCTCTCCTGTCGTCCAGGACTGGGGAGACTGAGGCAGGAGAAGCGCTGAGTTCGAGGTTAGCCTGAACTGCATAGCAGACCATGTCTCAAAGAAAAAATCAAAAGACAGAGAAAAAAGCCAGGCATTTGAAACATTGCTGAAACCTCCCTTCTGAAGAGATCATTTTTCACAGTTGTCTGACACTGTTACTGTCTCATTTGAGGCTTTTTTTCTATGAATATTTACAGATAAGATCAAATTTTTGAGGACCAGCCAAATAGCTCAGCGGATTAAAGCACCTGTAAGCAGGCTCAGGGGCTCGGGGTTCTATCTCCGGGCCTGCCGTGGCGCCCTCACCCTTGGGGCAGCTAAGACGCAAGTGAGACTGGGCGCGCCTGTAATCCCAGCTCTTAGGAGGCTATAAAGAGGCGGATCACTACAAGTCCGATCTAGTATTGAGACCCTGAGCACCTTGTAGACCCTTCCCTAAAATACAAAAAAAAAAAAAAAAAAATCAAAGTTTTGGAAATTTTTGTTAGGAGTATTAAGCTATGTGAACAAAGGCTGCCTCTCGCCCCAGTCCTCTGCGGGTGTCAGCCGGGTGTCCTGGGGCTCTGCTGAGCCCGTGCTTACTGGCCCACCGCGCGATGACTCTGCTGCAGCCGCCTGGTTTCCAGGCTCTCGTGCTCCAGCGGCTTGCTGTGTTCTGGCTCAGGCCCCCAGAAGCCGTCGCTCATCCCACCCTCCCGCTCATCCCACCCTCCCGGCGCTCCATCGCTCCCCAGCTCCACCGGGAGCCCCTCAGTGAACTCTGCTTTTCCTGCTTCAGCCTCACCTCCAGGTTTAGGAGTGTGAAATTCAGCCTCCTGTGGGGCGGTGGACTCAGGCCCGGAGCGCCCTTGGCACTGCTGCTAGCAAGCAGGAAGGCCCTGCTCAGCCCTAGTAAGGTGGCACTCCTCCAAGTCTCAGGGTCCCCAGACCGGCCGGCTTCCGCGTTCCCTTGCTTCAGGCCAGCTGTCCCTGGCAAGGGCCTCTGGCTTGGGCCCACTGCGCATCAGCGCCAAGACTGGCACGGAGGACGCCCGGGCCTGGGAGAATGCTTGGAAGCCCGTCCTACAGGGAAGTCTGGGGACTGGCTTGGAACGCTCTGCGCCCTGAGTGTCTCTGCAGGACCCCAGGGGCTCTCTCCCAACCACCGGGCTGCTCTGGGCCTTGAATCTGCCCGTCCCCCCCAGCCCTCTGCCCCTCACAGGGCACCCCCGCACACACCCCTCACCCGAGCGGGCTGTGCACCCGGTGCCAGCCTCACCACCACTCCGGGGGCCTTTCCTGCCCGTGTCAGCTGGGCTCCTAGAAGGCGCCTCTCAGGGTCACTCTGGTGGCGGGGCTGTCCCACTTGCGCACCGGAGTTACAAGCTCACCCTGAGTGAAGTGGGGCGCGGCGAGGACGCGAGCGGGGATGCGCGCCCTGAGGGCGCGGGGAGCTGCGCTGGGCTCCGGGAAGGGTGGATGGGCAGGGCGGCGCCTGGACCACGGGGCCCCGCGGGGTCACACGCGGAGAGCCCGGCGGGGCAAGCTAGAGACCGGCAACTGACCTGGGACGAAAACGCATCCAAGAAGCTCGAGTGCTGCGGGAGACACTTTATTGGGGCTTGGGGAGAGGTCTTGCCCTCCAGAAGGCAGGAGAGCAGGCAAGGCGACACGCTTCTGGAGGCCGAGAGCCGAGCTGCCCTGCTGGGCAGCGCTTCCTCACCAGGGCGTCCCGAGGGTGACGCTGAGCGAAAGCTGCTCCGGGGACCTCGGAGACGACAAGGAGCGTTGCTCCGGGCTGAGGAGCAGGAAGCCGGCAGGGGCTGCGAGGAGGGAGCGGCCTCTGGAGGGGCGGCCTGGGACGGTTGGGAGAGGCCCTGGGCACGGGGGCACCGGGGCCTCCGGCCCTCACCCCTCACCCACACTCTCAGGCAGAAGTGGCAGTGGCCTTCGACCTGCACTCTGCGGCACAGGGTGGGAGCTTGGGCGGGCGCGAGGGGGCGTTCAGCAGACAGTTGGCGAGAAGGCAGCTTCCTGGGCCAGGGCTTCCTCGGGGAGCAGACACCTTCCGCCCACCTCAGCCTCCCTGTTTCTTTTGGAGCTGCCTCAGGTAGGTGAGGACATCCGACCTCACCACACTAACTGGGGTATGGTGGAGCCAGCGCATGACAGGGACTCCGTCTGGCCCCACCAGGAACTTCTCAAAGTTCCAGCGGATGTCATGCACTCTGATGGGGTCCCAGGAGATGCGTCTGGAGGAGCCCAAAAGCTCAGAGGGGTGAGGACAGGAGCGCTGAAGCAGAAGAGAAAGAAATGACTGCTGTCGCAGGTGACCCAGGACAACCCCCTGCCTCCTGTACCTAGTTAGCTCCATGGATACCTTGCAGTCCCCGCCCATCCTCTCAGGCACCCTCACACCAGGTCCCACAGTGGTAAGAGGGTCACCCTGCAGCCCCTCGGTGTCTGCAAAGTGAACGGCTTTCATAGAAGGTGCTGCCCTGGCCTGAGGGCTGGATGAGCCAGGCTCAGTTCTGTATCAGTTGTGGCCAGTAAGAAAAATATTAAACACCATCATTTCATCACTCCATTTCAAAAGCATCCTTATTGTAAAGAACAAGCCACACATAATCCTTGAGTAACGGATGAGTTTGTTTAGGAGATCCTCTCCACAGGTTCTTTTTTCTTCAGGTTAGTGCAGATATTAGCAACCCTTAGCATGGCCTGGTCTCAGTCCACAGCCCTGCCCCCAGGAACAGCTCCCTCTGGTGACTGTGTGGTCTTCTCAGCCCAGGCTTTCTCTGTCTACAAGTCAGGAGGTGCCCACCACACCAGTTGTCCCTGCTGGGCTGCCCACAGCTATCCTGACAGTGCTGTCCTCCAGGGCGCAAACCCTGCCTCGCTCCTGTGTGTCATGACTCAGCCTGCCTTACGGCTGAGAACTCCTTGACACCCTGGTGAGTGGATTAGAGGGCTGTCCAGAAAGCTGTCACACCACGCTGTCTCTACCACTCAGCCAAGCCCAGGGACACAGAAATGGAACCCAAGGCCTGTGCTGAGCTACAGCTTTCCTCCCCAAAGCTCCACCTGGTGCCACCCCAAGAAGTCCGTCCCTAGCCACCCCCACCCCCACCCCTGCCCCAGCTCTGTGCTAAGAACATTCTGGAAAAGAGGGAGGCTTATGCCTCAAGGGAGTCACTCACCTTCAAGAAGGTGAAGATTTTCTGTTCTTTTTCACCATTCACATCCCCTTTCTCAAAAAGCTGGAAATTAGGGACAAATCCTCCTCCTGGCCGGACATGCCTGCAACAAGTGCCCATTGGCAGAGGCCCCCAGGTGGCAGGGGAGAGCTGGGGACAGTGTGGGGGTGGGGCAGGGAGAGTCCTGGCTTCTGTGACCCTTGCCCCACTCATGCCTTTACCCCTACCGCCTGCCCTCTCCTTGTGCCCGTCCAGGTGTCGTTGTCCTCAGCCCTCCTGGTCCTCCAGGCCAGCCAGCCAGGGCACAGCAGCCCTGGACACAGAAGGCTTCCACCAAGGCAGGCCAGGGCCCCTCGGCCCATGGCCATGGATTTTGGGGACGGAATAGCACTCGGGAGTACTCACTTGAGCCCCGGCAGGATCTCGCTGTTTTCCCCCGGTTCCTGCTTTCCAAACTGGTTGCAAGGGAAGCCCAGCACCACCAGGCCAGAGGGCTTCAGCTCCTCCTGGAGCACGTTCAGCTCTGCAGTGAGAGAAGCACAGGGGATATCTTGGCTTAGAGACCCTGCTCTGTGTGCAGAAAGGCCGGGTAGCTCACGCCGCCGAGGACAGAAGCCTGCACACTGCCGTGCGTCGCCAGTGGTCTGGACCTGCGCTCACCAGGGTCCTGGCTTCAGCCTCCCATTTGGGCAGCACATCAGAGTGGGTGGGGGATGGGGATGCCCAGTTCCATGACAGAGAGGCTCTGGCCGTCTCCTGCCTCCATGGGCAAAGCCAGGCCGGCCCACCACTCGACATTCCCTGGTTGTTGGTGTGGTCCATTGGCCCTCGCTTTTCTGGAGCAGGGGATGTGGGCGTGGGCACAGAGCCACCTGCAGGCACACCCACCTGAAGTGATCTGCAAACCTGCAGCAGCCTCTCCTTAGACGGTAAGATGAAGTGAGGGCCAATGAGCATGACTCAGTCTTCAAAAATGAGGAAATGGACTGAACTAAAAAGTACTCATTCAAAATGAGAGTAAGTCATATTTACAGTGTGCTATACACTGGGGAAGCAGGAAGAAGGACTGATGCACCAGCATGCGGCGCCACCCGCTGTGCTGCAAGCCAGGCTGCCTTGGCCTGGGCCGAGCTCTGCATTTGCTGACCTGACTCAGTGAATGAGGGCCCTCCTCTAAGTGTGTACTGTGGCAGCTGTTAAGTTAGAATGGAACTCCAGGTGCAGGTCAGGGAGTAGCCAGCTGGAAATCTCAGCCTCAGTGCGAGTCTTACCCGGGTACTGGGCGGTCAGGCCGCAGTAGGTGGCCACGTTGACGAAGAGGACGAGCTTGCCCACGAACCGTGAGAACTGGATGCGCTCCTTCCCGCTGAGGGTCATGGCCTCGTAGTTGAAGATGGTGTCTCTCACGTCTTTGTAGCAGTCCATCTGGAAGACATTCAAGAGAACCTCAGGCGTTTCTGGCTTCCTGTGATCTCTCAGGACTCGGAGAATAGTATAGGTATAAACTCAGACTCAGAAGACAAAAAGAGTTGTGCAAGCATTCAAAGGCAGGAATGAAACTGACGATTTGGACTTAAAATCTGATGGATTTCTGAGCAAAAGCCTGCCAAGTCTCTTCCTGTTTTCCTGGTGGAAGGAGGTGCATGGGTGTATGGAAAAGAGCTTCATGCTTGGGGTGGGGGGAGCAGGGGCTGTCGGGCCTCTGTGAGTGTGAAGGAGGGGAGGGGCATGGGAAGAAGACCTCAGCCTAGGGGTGCTTGCTGATGGGGGGCAGGATGGGAGGGAAGAGGAAAAAGGCTTAGGGGCCCCAAGCAAGGCGGGACTGGAAAGACAAGCTAGCTAGAAAGGAGACCAGAAAAAGTGTACTTTTAATGCAAACTACAGGTTGCAGAAACTGGCCAAAACTTCCTGAGGTCCCCGAAGACACAGTGACCTGGGCCAACCCCTCCTTCTCTGGGAACCGTTCTGCCCTGCAGGTGGGCCACCGAGCTATCACTTGTGGTGGTTGTCTGGGTGAACAGCCATCACCCTTCCCCCGTCATTTGTATATGGAGCCCCTCCTTCCACAGTAGCTAGTGTTGTGGGCTCCACCCCACCCCCACAAATACACGGAGGACACAGGCCCGCCCCGTCACACTGTTCTCCATGAGGGCTTTTCAACTACCTAATAAGCCTCTTACTCATCACCCTGAGAACATTTTTCTGTGATGGGGGGAAAGAAACCTGCCACAGGTCCCCTGGGAGGGGCAAGTCAGCTCCCCATCTCCACTGTGGGACCCTCCAGGGACCCTGACAGGTGACACAAAGAGAAAGAAAGCAGAGGTTGGAACCCGGCGGGAAGGGGGCAGGGCAGCCGCTCCCACACCCAGTAGCCTCCTGCTGAAGCTCACCCACCTTCTGGGGCTCAGGGCCTGGCTGCACGAGGCCAGCCAGGAGGAGGAGGAGCAGACAGGAGGCTGTCAAGCTCCGGGTCATGGCGGTGCTGAAGGCTGCTGCTCTGCACCTGAGGTCTCGCTATCTATGCAGAGGGACCCCAGGCCAGCCAATAGCAGGCCTCCGAGGAAGAGGACAGCCTCATTCTCACCCACACGCACCCTCAGGGCTCTCAGCCCCCAGCACCAGCATGGTGAGGACCTAGGGCCAGGTGATGCCTGGCAGACTTCCAGGAAGAGAGTGTCCCGGTGCAGCCATGCTTGGCCTGGGTTCCTTGCACCTTTGATGAAGGAATCGGGTCAAGACACCGACTCGCAGAGGTCTAGGTGGACCCTACAGTAAGCAGCGCGGGAGCAGCCAGGGCCTTGAGTACTGCCACAAGCTTGCGTGGGGACAGTGCTTTGTGTGCATAGGAGCAGCTCTGGGCTCAGGGAAGTGGGTGATTATGGTGTTGTGGTACATTTTTCCTTAAGTCACCTCAGAGTTGCAGAGAAACTTCCTGTCCTCTGTAAATGGTCAGTGATTCTTCGGGGGCTTTTCTCGTGTAAGAAGCTCACCAAGGTAAGTTCTTAGTTTCAGCCAGATCCTGGCCAAAGGCAGGAGGGTCTGGAAAGAGCACCTCCTTTGCAGGGATCACTGGCTGGGAGCTCTGCAGCCAGGACAGCTGCATGCCTCACTCTGGACTTAGATGGCCTGGTGGACTGACCGCGCCCTGTGTGACCGTGAACGTCACCATGCTCTGGGGCCTCACTCTGGTCTGAGAGCGAAGGAGTGATAATAGGTGTATGACCCAGTGACCTTTTTCCTTCTCAACTGGCAACACCTGCTGCTTTGGGCCCCTCAGGCCTGCTGATGTCTAACTACCTGCCTAGCAAGGTTGAACCCTCCTGGGCCCTCGAGGACCACTGATCACTTTCCTGCAGGGACGAACAGGACACCTGGGTGCTGGTGTGGCCTCTCAGATGTCCTGATACCCTTCCTTGGGCTGTGGTGAACTCAGGGGCAGCCTGTGCTTAGCATGCACAAGCCCTGACCATGAGAAAAGCAGTGCTGTTACTCTGCTACATTAGTCTGAGCTTTAACAAAAAGCGAAGGATGGACCCCTAGACCCTGTCTGGGAGCTGGGAGGGAGCTGGGAGCGCCTGCCGTCCACAGTCCAGGAAGGGGCGGTGCGACAGTGTGTTCATCACACAGGTGCCTTCCCCAAACGCAGTGAGACCTGGGCAGCAACCTCTGAAGGCGCGACTCTCCAACCTGGGCCATTTCCTCGTCTTCTGGATGACACTGCCACCCTGGCCCTGCGAGGAGGAAGTTTCCACAGAAGCAGATTTTCAGCATTTCTCTGGCCGCGCTGTTCTGCCCACTCCAGCTCGGAGTGTCTCTGTACGATTAGACCAAACTGGTAATAAACTCACTGTTCCATACTGCAGGGCTTTCCTCCAACTCACACTCCTGATGGCGGACAGAGGATGAATCCAGACAGTCAGGGGCCAGGTGTAGGCCTCTGGCCAGCCTCCCAGTGACAAGACCCATGGCATGCCGGCGCCAGGCAGGAAACCAGCGGGCGCCTGAGGAAAGATGCCACATTCTCTCTCACCAGTAGCCAGAAACGTATGAATAAGAAAAGACACCGCCTGCACTTATCAGATTGGCACCAGTTGAAAGGAGCAGGTCCTCCGGCCTGGGCAGGTAGGTGCTGGGGCACAGTGGGCGGGGTCACTAACACTGCCAGCTTCCTGTGGGCACTCCACAGCCCAGTGCCACCCCTCTTGAAAGGAAATCTCCATTTGAAAAAGCTTTTTCTGCTGAAGTAGATATGAATGTGTAGGAAGCTGTAAGCATTCCTCTTACTGTTGTCGATGGCTGAGGGTCAAGTAAAATCGGGGGGGCACGCTTTGTCTGTCCAGGACATGGCCCCCTCCTGGTCAGCGGCGGTCTGCAGCCGCTGCTCACAGGCCTTGAATGAATCTGCTCACAGGAGCAAATGAATTAATAACTGTGGGCCTGGAGCACTCACTGGGAACTGCTGAGTTCCTCATAGAAACAACACATTGAACCCCACTAACCTCCGTCCTCCATGTCTGTGGAGGTGGGCAGGGAGTTGGACTCCAGGGGAACACAGGGTACAGAGTACTGCACTTTGCCAGTTAGAATTAAGTGGAGAAACAAAGACTTCAACCCACGATGATCGTATGACCATTTGTTATATTTCAGATGAAGACAGGGGCCTACTTCCAGAGTGAGGCGCTACCAGGAAGGGGACTATTTTGCAAAGACCCTCCTATGTCGGGCTGGGGCCTGGCTCAGACTGGGAACTTCTGTTTCATAAATCTCCTTTCTAAATGTCTTGCAGGATTAAACCCTCTTAGGGAACAATGACCTGCCTACGAGGGACAGGAAGACATTTTGCAACTCCAAAGTCTCTTCTAAGTAAGAGATTTAGGGTGCCTGATAAGCACCCTCATCCCACCCCACCCTACCACCATTCCCTGGATCACAGGACTAACTCTGTGTGCACAAAAAATATGAAAGTCCAGGCCTCCCCTTAAGGCAGATGCGTCTGAGCACTGCCCACCGTCTCAAACACAAATGCAGTGGGTCTTGCTACGCCCACTTCACAGTCCACAGTCCACAGACCCCTGCGGGCCGCCTGTCCTGAGAGAACTGGTTCCTACAGGGCACACAGGTCCCAGGAGCTCTGACAGCTGCTTCCTCAGCAGGTGGGGCCCAGGGCCTCAGGGCCACCTCACGAGGGATTGAACTCAGGCCCTTGCCCTTGCCAGGGAAGCACTTATTCCACTGAGCCATCTCCCTGGCCTCGAGTTTAACTCTTAAACTTATGACACTGTCATATTTCAGCTATTGAAGGATTTCAGAACACATTTATATCTCCAGTCCAGAAATGACAGATTATTGGTGTGGATGTCCCTACTCGACCCCAGGCAGAAGCACGTGGACACGGTGGCTGAGCTGTGACAGGGATGGCAAGGCAGCCTCTGCGGGCAGCCGGCTGGCTCTGGGGAGATAGCTGACAGGACACAGAGCCCTGCGTCGCCAGTAGCTGGATCCCTGAACCCCACTTCCCACCTGTCAGAGGATAAGAGGCTTCGCCTCAGGTTCAAATTCCTCCTCGCCCCAGGCCTGCTGGCCAGCTCTCCGTTCAAGCCTGAGCTCCCAGAAGACGAGGCTTTTGTTAGCCCCGGGCTGACCTCTTCGGGGGAGGCCTCTAAGCTGGGAAGAGGCGTTGTCGGCGGTGCCCCAGGGCCGACCCGGGGCCAGCCTCTCTGGCTCCCTGGGCCCCGTGGCCAGATACCCTGCCCTTCTTCCCACCTGAGCTCAGAGAGCCACGTGAAGGCTCAGCCCTCCGAATCAAGGCTGGGGCTCTCCTTCCCCAGGGCGCTCTCTAGAATCAGGTAAATGAGCTCCGCAGGAGTCGTTCAGCAGTCACTCCCTCCCTTAGCACTGGTCGCCAGGAGGAAGACGCCGGCCCCAGGGGACAGCTCTGCCGCCCGAGCGGGGCTCAGGGGTGCAGCCTCGGCCCCACGGATGCCTCGCTCTCACAGTCGTGTCCCAGCCACTCCTGGCGCGGGAGGGAAGCTCAGAGCGCCAGCCCTGCGGTTGGCGTAGCCGCCCCGCACCCCGCTCCGCTCTGCTCCGAGCCCCAGCAGGTGGGGCAGGCGTCGCGTTCTGTCCGTCCTCGCCACCCCTCCCGCCAGGGCCACATCCCCTCCTTGGTCCCCTTCCAGAGGGCTGCAGCCGCCTGCGATCTTCTCTCAACTCTGCCCCTTCCAGCCCCGCCCTTGCAGCCCCAGGGGACGCTGCACGCCCCCTCCTGACCCCGCGGTGCTCACCGCAGAGGGCCCAGAGCCTCCAGCCGGGCGGGCGTCCCGCCGCCCCAGGCTCCCCGCCGGCCTCAGCGACCGCGCGAGGACCCCCGCCCCGCCTCGCACGCCTGCTCTGGAGCTGCCTCTTCCCTTGGGCCCACGTAGCTGAGAAACTCAGTGACCCCAAGCTGAGACTGCCAGGTGCGCGTGTGCACATGGCCGCGAGGGTCACCACCTGGGGTCGCCTGTTGGGGTCGCTGCGCCCTGCTGCGCAACCTGCACTTGAGCCTGCCCCCCACCCCGCCCCCGCCACACGAGACACCGTGAGCATCATAGGCTGCTGACCAGACCCGCGGCAGGGACGTCGGCAGGCGACTCGGCCTGTGGGACCTCCGTTGTGTATGTGTGGCCCATCGTGGACTGAGACACCCTCGTGTGTGTGTGTGTGTGTGTG